GATCCGCGTCGTGTCCGTCCGGGAACGATGACGAGGTTGCATTGACGGTCGAGTAGGCGAAGCCAAAATTGTCTGGAGTGTCGAGTGGAATGAAATTGATTTTTCCAAATTCGAGCTTGAGTTCCCAATACAAATATTTTAATTTTCGGGATGAAAATCAATGTTCTCCAAAATCACATGCGCCCACCACTACTTTTGCAAAACGGCGGTTAATCCGGCTTCTATTAAAGGGGACTCCCAGCTGCCAAAGATTGAGTTACGGCCCTGTACATCGAAGGCCTTTGTACGCCCAGGGCGGCCGGGAAGCTCTCAACTTTGGAATTCCCTGTTCTCACCTACCAATCACGTTCTCGGCTGTTTTGGACCAAATTCGATGATTGAAACCCGAAACTATTTAAAATCGAGCGAGGATTTCAGAAATGAACTCAGAATCTGCGATTTATAGTTTTTTTCACAAAGAAATCGAACAAAAACCGCTTCGCGCAAAAATCGGAAGAGAGAGGGCCGTCGTCCTCTCTATAAAAACGAAAGGGTCACTGCCGAGAAGTACCGATTTTGTTGCGGAAAAAAGTAAAATATTTGAGTTATATAGTTAGTTACGGATCGCTGAGTAAAAGGATACCTTTCCCATCGTTGAGGGTTACAGGTAGGAGGCAATCGGGTGCCCCGGATTCTTCCTTGTAGTCCGCCGTCTATAAATGGCTACGGTGCTGCGGGCTATCGGAATGTCTGACAAAAGTGTGAGGGTGAAAACGACTTTTCGAGTGGGCAGCGAACGTCATAAGGCACCCAATCTCTCGATCTCGGTAGTTCTCTGAGCAATTTTCATCAAAAGTCTAGAATGATCAAAATACGCTGAGTATTCCAGAAATAACCTCAGGGGTTTTGTCATTCAAGCGTTTTCACGTCCAAACCGGGGGCAAAAGATTATGCGGCGTGGACGCATCTGGCTATGTGCCAGCTATCAATGCAGGGCGCAGTAGACCAGACCATTAGACGAAAAGTCCTACGACCATTAGACGATACGACTCCTATTCTTTTTGCAAAATTTTCAGTCGTACTCTACCGTAGGAGATGTTTCGATTCAGGTACGATCTGCAGCGGGACATATCGCCTCCCAGTCAGCTCCCGGTCCCAGATCTCGGTCATGTGACGTGCGATTTTGTGTAGGGCACCCTATCTTTTCCGCTCGGCGTCATTTCTTTGGCGGTTGTCGTTTTTCAACATTTATCCCAAAAACAATCGAGCCTATTGAGGAAATCACAAATCACAGGAAAGAAAATGCATGGTGAATACGAAATGGGCGGTGTTTGGTACATAATTTTTTTATAATCAGTCAGTGTGTGTCGGGAGCAGCGTTGCCGAGCGTTTTTCGCTCTTTCTTCGCTGTTAGCCTCTCTGCGTCCTTTGTTCTTCATCCGCGGTGACTTCCTCCTGCAAAAAGGAAAGTATACCACAAAAAATCCCCGGGCATCTACAGGGTGTCCCATAAAAAAGCACCCCTCCGGCATTTCGCCGTATTACATCCGATCGGTCCGAAATTTGGACCAGAGGTGTATCAGACCTTAAATAACCACAATCCTGACTTATAGCCGGCCAGCTACACTAATCTTCGAGATACAACAAAAATAAACTTTATTATCCGTTTTTCATATGGTTTTCGTCGAAATAGACCCTTCGAATATCAGTGAAAATGAAGCGGCAAGCCTGCTTTACCCCTAGAGATTTTTTCTGATAAATATTAGTGAAATAACTGTTGATTTCAACAATTTTTGTAACGCAAAGTCACCCTCGATATTAAGCGCAATTAGGGATTCGAAGCTGGAAGTCGATGTAAATCGATGCAAAGTCCAAAAAGATAGCCGAAAAAACTGTTAAGAACCGCGTAAAAAACCGTATTTTGACGTTAACTCGAAATCTACTGTAGCGATCGGGCTATAACTCGGGATTGTGGTTATTTAGGGTCTGATACACCCTCCAGTCCAATTTGGGACTGTTGGGATGTAATACGGCGAAATGCCGGAGTGGGTGTTCCTTGGGACACCCTGTAATCCGATAGCCTCACACCAGGTGCGGGCGTATAATCATCGGTTTTCCATCCATTACGCAGCTTTTCGTCGAATTCGTCTTGCGCTGAAACAGCACCGATTTGGGTTCGGCTTGTCAAAAGCGGACAATTTAATGAAAAATTATCCTAAACAACATGGCGCTCCTATTGATCCAGGTTTTCAAAAACACGCCTTATGTCGGGTTTATTACAGAAATCCAATTTTCGTAAACTTCTGGATAACAACCGGATAGCCTCACGAGGAGGCGTTTTCGCGCTTTCACGGAGTTTCGAAGTGGGGCCAAGCCTATTTTGTGCAGAATTTTTCGTAATTAAAGCGTTGAGTTGAGAATCCGCGAAATGACCAAAGTAAAAAAGATATGAAGCTCTAGAGGATCAAAAAACGGCGAAAATGGGCAACTTAGGGCATTTCTCGAACGTTAAAGCTTCGGAACTTTTTCAAACATGATCGTTTGGCAGATTCTGAAAAAGATGCTTGGATCAGTAAAAAATTTTGGACAAAACAGGCTCGGTCTGATTTTGAAACTGTGTGGACACTCGAAAACGTCCCCTTTTTAGTTCGAGAAAACGTTTTTGAGTGAACTGGCTGACAATGGGATGGTGTCAGCTCGGAATCGCGTTGGTGTTAAAAAATTCGCACAGCGATAGGGCTGGAATCGATTGATGTAGCTTTTAGCAACAAATACCCAAACCAAAGCAAGGCGATGAACAGGGTACGCTGGGAAGACCTAATATCCCGGTTGCAAAAGTTTGGCTAAACTTTAAACGCTTATAACGTTGTTTGTCTTCGGTATCTGGTGGTAAAGATTACATGAATCGATTCGTCTCATCGAGCTCCATCAGTGTGCCAAGTTTCTCAATATTAACTCGACTCGAACATTCCTTTGTGAGAGCAGTCTACCCGTGGTAGTCCACTTAAAACACAAAAGCAAAACTAAACGATCATAGCCGGTTTTCCGCCCCGATCTATGGAATCCCTACGCACTCGTGGTCTCGTCGTCGTGGCTGACGATGTAGATCGGTACGATCGCGTTTCTGTCAGGATCCACGAAAACTACGGCGCCAAGGTTCTCCTAAAATGATGCGTAGCCTTTACGTTATCCGAGGCACGTCGCATGGCTGGTGGTATTTATTTTAGACTCAATTTAGTCTTGTTCCAATTATTCCGAGGAGACGTTTTTAGTGACAATCGTGTTTCCATACGGGACCAAGCCTATCTTGTGCAGGATTTTGCGCGAATCCCGAACCCATTTTTAAAATCTAGGAAACGATCAGATCCTGAATGTCCAATTTCAGCAAATTTTCGCCTTTTCGCACTGAATAGCTTCGTAACTTTGCGAATCTGCTCGTTTCGCAGAATAGGCTTGGGATCAACGTGTTACGTTGTGTTACGCATCCTTACATTCTGGTAGAATGACGCTGAAAAGACGGTGGCCACGGGAAGGTTGGCAAACCTGCGCACGCCGTTTGTCATCTTCTACAAAAAAGTTCCATTAGATGAATGAGACAAAAGTGCTAAATTTCAGAGAATATTTCACCGCAGTTCCTCCGTTGCCCTGGCAATGCTTTTGTATATCATCATGCCCTAGTTATCATCAAGTTTTCCTAGCCTTTTTATGGATTTTGTGCGTGTGTGTGTGTGTGTGTGTGTGTGTGTGTGTGTGTGTGTGTGTGTGTGTGTGTGTGTGTGTGTGTGTGTGTGTGTGTGTGTGTGTGTGTGTGTGTGTGTGTGTGTGTGTGTGTGTGTGTGTGTGTGTGTGTGTGTGTGTGTGTGTGTGTGTGTGTGTGTGTGTGTGTGTGTGTGTGTGTGTGTGTGTGTGTGTGTGTGTGTGTGTGTGTGTGTGTGTGTGTGTGTGTGTGTGTGTGTGTGTGTGTGTGTGTGCGTGTGTGTGTGTGTGTGTGTGTGTGTGTGTGTGTGTGTGTGTGTGTGTGTGTGTGTGTGCGTGTGTGTGTGTGTGTGTGTGTGTGTGTGTGTGTGTGTGTGTGTGTGTGTGTGTGTGTGTGTGTGTGTGTGTGTGTGTGTATGTGTGTGTGTGTGTGTATTGTGTGTGTGTGGTGTGTGTGGTGTGTGTGTGTGTGTGTGTGTGTGTGTGTGTGTGTGTGTGTGTGTGTGTGTGTGTGTGTGTGTGTGTGTGTGTGTGTGTGTGTGTGTGTGTGTGTGTGTGTGTGTGTGTGTGTGTGTGTGTGTGTGTGTGTGGATGTCACTTTCGAGGGCCGATTTGAGGGGCTTCCCGTGCATAAAATGCTCTAATTCTCCGTCACTTGGGGGAATCGACCCTCCTTTTCCAATGGCGTTTCCTAGAATTCCGATAAAATACAAGTTTACAAAGTTAAAGCCGGTTTTATTCATTTCTGGGGGTCCGGGAGGGCTAATTTGCATAATGTGAAAAAATAGAAAATTCCTCATTCTTGCAAGTTGCACGCGCGCGTGTGGTCGGGGGGGGGGCTATCGGAAAGTCAAATTCTCATGTAAAGGCCGCATTCCAGCGCCCAAGGCCCGCGAAGCGGGTTTTGGGCGCTGGTTAAACGATAAATGATCAAGAAAAGACAAAGACACATTTTCCGTTCACCTGGTGACCCCGGAGGACGAATTCGACACCAAGCCGGCCCATAGCTGCTGCGACAGTTTTTGGGGCCAGGACCATGCCGTATCGTCGAACGTTGTTGACCTCGCAACTAAACGCGAAAAGATGCGATTGACATAGAGGCGCATGGTGGGCGTCGCCTCCGCTCCCAGCCTACCAAGGCCATTTAATGTTATGCGAAAAATCCTGATCAGACCTTAACTTACAATTCGACTTTTTCCGATGGATCGTTCCATCGCAGATGCCTGTTCATGTTCGCGTACGTCCCCTCCAAGCACGTCCCATCCAGCTTGCAGCATCTTTTGGTCAGCTCCATCGCTAAAATCATTACAGGGTGTTTCAAATCAACCAGTCCAGGGCGGCCAACAGACGGGCACCGCGACACTTGTGGCGAACTAATTTAGTGTAAACTAAATAAAAATAGTTTAAGTATTAGTTTATACGTTGCGTCCAAATTTGGTAATAAAACCTATAAAAAGTCGGGTTTGCCACAGAAGTCCCTCAATTTGGAGAGAAAGTTACCGCTACTACAGTGTGTGCCAAAATGGGAGGGGAATGAAGTTTTTGGCCGTTTTCTTGGAGACCTTTGTATGTACTTGTAAAATCGGATAATAGGCATTGTAGACCGAAAAAATTAGCATCGTATGGTGTACTTTTAATCCCGCTACCATGCAGGATAACAGTTCTACAAGCGATTGAATAAAAATAGGGAAAAACAGAAGTGACAAAATGATAGGGGAATCATTCTCATACCATTTCCATTAACTTGCCGTATGAATAGTGGATGCTAATTAGATGCAAATTTTGGCAGACCATTTACGGTCGACATTTCGGCCAGAAAATACAATTTGACATCTTCCCCTGCTATGTACCTGTGATTAAAAAAAATCATCATCCACTATTCATAGAGAAAGTCGATGGAATATACAGACGCGTTTTTTTCGGGCTATACGACCTATTATTCGGTTCTACGCGGAAATGCAGGCCGGCTGCACGACTAGAAAAGGGCCATGTCGCTTCGGCTTACATTCCTGCGGCTTCTCAAACTCGGGCTGGTTTGCGCCCGAGGCCCACAAAACGTGCCGCTCGGGCTCGACTCCCGGCCGGAACATGGTATTTGATTTTTCAGGATCCTTAAGCTAGTGGTTCAGCTGTTTGGCGACCAATCAAACATACATATCATGCCGTGCATGCACAGAATCCGGCCATCAATGAGCCCAACAACAGGCAGACGTTCAAAGTAGGCCATTATCGCATCGATCGCGTCAACTTTTCGTGGTGGATTTGTTTGCCTCCTTTCTTTCACTGCGTCGTGCGTTTTGCGCGGCCGGTATCCGCGATCAGTCATCACTTGTTGGAAATCCTTCATATTAATCTCGCCTTCTTCGTGATTTCCACGAAGGATGAACACCTGAATACTTACTGTATTACTGTAATATTTATGAACAGCCGCTTACAGCGGCTTTGCCGGTGCAAACGGTTGGACTTCGGGCCACCCCATCCGCTCCCTCCCCTCCCTTCCCGATGGCTTTAGATACTTTAAAGAATTTAAATAATGAACTAAAATAATTAAAAAGTATTAAAATAACTGAAAAAAAGTGATCTGGGTGCGGGAAGGGGCCTGGTGAAAGGGGGCTGGGGAAGGTGTCGTGGCCTACCGGGAGGGCCGGAAGGCCCCCCCCCACTTGGTCTATGATTCCTTCCAAGTTCAATCCTTTTATTTAAACGAAAACTTTTTCATAATTCTTTTATCTTTGAATGGGTTTCTGAACACTTCGAAAAGAGGGGCGCAGAGACATTTTCTTTTCACCGCGTAACCGATTGGCTATGCCGTCGGCATCCCTTTAAATAAATACGCGATATAAATTAATGAGGTTCTTTCAAATTAATAGTTTAAGAATAGTATATGTGTATCTGCGCATTAATTTTATCAAGGGAAACCTACCTTTTTTCTTAGGGGCTAATTTTTCAATCAAATATGAACAGCAAAGGGTTTCCAAGCTATTTTTTACTATCACGCAACGTAAAACTTTGCCATTTTTTGCTCTTTTACATCATCGGGGAGGCTGGGGGCAGGGGAACCGAAAATTTTTGTAGAAGTCTAGGAATTGCCAGATTTCATCAGAAATATTTTAGTTTTGTATAGTATTTTTAGTAAAAAATAACTCTATTTCCACTTATAAAACCCGCTAAAAACTTTTAAAATTTGTGAAAAAGTCGAACATTCCACCGCGAAGCGGCTCTTCCAATAATGCGAAACGACCCAAGAAGCAAAACCTGTTCGGGGAAGAGAGTCTTGTATGCCATAATCAGGATCAAGCATTCGAGTTGGCGGTCGCCCCGATCGACAATGTCGCCGAGGAAGATGATGCTTAAAAAGATGATATCCAAGCAAAGGACTCCGAAATCGGTTCTTTCGCATGATCGGGGGAGGGGCCAAACTCTCTGGATGCTTAGAAATTCTTAGTAACGTAATAGAAAGTGTTTCAATAGTTTTTCTAGTAAGATAGAACCACATTTCAGCTAAAAAAACTATCCGAAAAACTTTAAAAAAATCGAAATTTTGGTCAAAGATCGGCCAGGCCATTTTTGGTCGAAAAATCTATATTCTTGATATTTTTTTAAAAATTTGGAACGTTTTCGCGTTTAGAAATAGTAACAAACCATTCAGAAAGACTTCCACTGATCCCATTGAAAAAATTAGATCTTAAAAAAAAGTTAGGTTCCCCCTGGATAAACTACCCCCCTGCTCCCGATAATTCGAAAGAACCTCGAAGTCTACATACTTTTGCTTGGGCCCTTGGCCCACTACATCCGACAGCCAAGCATGGATGATACGCCAGAGGTCGTTGAGCTAAAAGACAAAATGTAACGAACGTCCACAGCGACATGTGAGAAGTGCTCGAACACTCGAACACAGGCCCACATTTCCGTGGATGTCCCCGACGACAATCGTCCGTCCCTGCGGCCTCGCCACTGCCTTCTCCTTAATGAGGTGCGGCTCGAGTGCAAGGCATAAGCTCCGTATCTCATCGGCGTCCGGGTTGTACTTCGGCTGCAAGATCATATACTCGCATACTCAACCACATAATTTCCGGTACAATTCAAATAGGCGGGGGGGAAAGATTTAGGCGGGGGAAACCAACTTTTTTTTGTCGGCCCTGCTGGGGATAGTAATCAAATATAAAGTGTTTTCACGTTGTTTTTAGCAAAATTTAAGCCTATCTGAATCCGAAAAACTTTTTAAAAAGTTAGAAAAACGCTTGAAAAAGTCGAAAATTTGGTCATTTTTGGGCCGAAAAAATTGATTTTTCGACCTAAAATTAAATTTTTTAATTAAGTTTTGTTACGTTTTTATGTTTAGGAATAGCTATAAACAATTTAGAAACACTTCCACTATTTATATGAAAAATATAGGCTTGGGCGGAAAAAAGTTCGGTTTCCCCCCGCCTAAATCTTTCCCCCGCCTATTTGAATTGTAAATTATTTCCCGCCTAAACCAGGGTTGAAAAACCGCTGCGCGGCTTTTCAACCCTGGCCTCGTCTCGGAAAAATGACTATTTTGGCTTTGCATTGCGCTTCCGGAATCGGGATGACAAAAAAAGTGCGAAAAACACCTCTTCTCTCCCTTTATTAGGCTAACCCCACTTCCGGCGTATGCTATTTCATGCATAGCAAAGAGGGGTGCCCGGGATGTTTAACTTGAATATAATGGCGAAAACAGCCCTTTTTCAGAAATCAAATATGTGTGCAGTACTCTCGAGCCAATTACGCATCAAATGACGTATCATACATACCTTACAACCCGTCCCTTTCCGAGATATCCTCCGGACCACCTGACGGAAGTTGCAAGCAAATGCACTCACACAGACACTATTTTTTATATATAGCCAGATCATTGATTTTGGCCCGAGAAATGAGTTGAGACGCAAGGCGCCCCAGACGGCCGCAGCTTTTGTAACACCGATCGACGTCGGCGGCCGATCCTTTCGTACAGGCTCACACACAAAATTGTTCCCCTTGGTCTGGCGCGTATTTTTAAATGCTTTACAGGGCCGTGGGGAAGAAGGCTAGTCGAGATCCCATACTTTTCCCGATTCGTCTACTTTTTGCCAAACAAAGGCCAAAGCTGACCGCTTGATTTTTAAAAGAACCCCGCGTAGTTTTTGACCCAATGAATGAGATTTCGAGAAGATTTCTAAAGAATTTGCCAAATTTGGATGGACCATACTTCGGTGGTCCGGTGTCCGGGGCCATCTACTCTTCGAGGGCTATCGATTGGTGTTAAAGGTATCCCACCCAAATTTCGTTAGGCAGAGACAACATGCTAAATAGGTTTTCCGTTGTTCTGTGCAACACTCCGCGAAGCTCTGTCTCGGCGTCTCTCAATTTTGGGGCCGGAAGGGAATATCCGAGGCAGAGCTCGATAAGACCTATCAAACCATATATCATCACACTATCAATTTTGGGATGCCTGCAGCTTTAAACAACAATTCCAAAAAACTGTGGCTTATTATCCAAACCGATAAATTATCACTCTCAGCTACGCTTTTTGGGGTTCTACTGTGGTAAAGTACATATTCTTATTTCTGGGTTTTGGTATGCTGCCAGGTTACATGCTTATTTTTCCAGGCCATTGACCGTTTCTATTCCAAATCGGATTCCAAAAACACCCGGAGCGCGGGGTGCCTGTTTCTCGGGGTGCTGTCCAACAACGCAGAGAAGTGATGAAGGCCCCACCTCTACGTCGTCCTCTGACAGATAGTCTACACTTCCCAACTTCTCGACGATCTTCAGCGCCACTGTCTTGCCGTCGGGATGATTGTCGGTAAGGGTGAAGAGGGTCTTTTCCTGTGGCCTCTCGGGCTGCTTCGATTTCCAGGATTCCTGAAAATGTAATCTCGATTATCCGCAGGAAGAAATCGTTTAATATCGAGCGCCGGTTAGAAAATTCGAGGGCTTTCGAATGGTACAAAAATCATCCCGATCTCATCTTTTGCGGGACCGCTTAAAGTACAGGGTGGCTGATAAGTATCCGGAAAAAGTATAAGGTCCGGGTGTAAAAAGGAAAGCACGAAGGTAATCAAAACCAATTATTTTATAACAAGTAGAAGCTAAATATTCGTCGCTGTAACAAACTTTTAACGTGACAGCTATCTTCTTCGATTTATGCTTCAATTTGTGGCTATCCTAAAATGGCTGTGCGCCGCGGGCAGTTGACGTCCATTTTGCTCAAAATCTTGTTAAATTCTTGGTGCAGATTAACCACATTCTTGACGCTCTGGTTCCTTGACTCGTGTTTCATGCATTCCCGCACAGAAAAATCTAGTGGATTACGATCTGGGCTTTTGGCAGGTCATATAACCTTCGTCATAAAAGCGTCGATTTTCGGGTGAAAATGACGAATTGTGGTTTTTGGGCCCTAGCCCCAAGCCCGATGCTGTTGAAGGGCAATACACGGATTATTTCGATTACAGAGCATCACATCTTGCTCCAGAACAGCATTTTGATAGAGGTTCACCTTGATTTTAGCGTTTTGATCGATGAAAACCTGTCGGAGACGCTAATTCCCCTTCAGACCATATAACTTTCTAGGATAAGCCTTTTGGTAGTAATTTTTAACTACCTGGTATTCTTCAGACCCGGACTGAAAAGTTATCGCGGTCCTTGAGAGTTTTCCGACACCTTAACCCAGAAAATTTTTTTCGTCTAAGCATTGACTACCCCAGGTGCGGCGCACCTAAGCTTAAGGAAATGACGGCTAAAGACAGCTTCTTGGCGCTCCGATAATTTACTGTCCTAAATCAACTCGATTTTAGTCATGAATTATCAAAGTATATTAGCACATACATAATGGCTAGGAGAAAAGAATATAAAACTCGATGGTTTTTTTGTTACGCCATGTCAAAGTTTTTCCGGATACTTATCAGCCACCCTGTATATATGGGTCGAAGCCCGGGGGCGCCGCCAGAGGCGCCTCCCGAGGCACCCCCTGGGGGCGTGCCGAGTGGCGCCTATGGCGGCGCCTGGGGCTGACCAGAAGGCGCCAGAAAACCGAGATGCAAAGCAAAAATGCGGTGTTATTATGGAAATGAGATTTGACTGCTGATCCTTAATATCAAAGAAGGCAAAAACTATTAGTTGATTGGCCTATAATTTTTCCCTGATCCTTTCGCATTGTAGAGGAAGGGAGTGTTTATGGGGGACCAACTTTTTTCTAAGGACCTTGTTTTCTAAAAGAAATAGTGGAAGCTTTCGAAACTGTTGTTATTATTCTTAAACGTAAAAACTTTACCAACTGCGACTGAAATACAAAAAAAAATATAGATTTTTCTGCCAAAAATCGCCGATTTTCCAATCTCACTTTCAATTTCGAAAATTCCATCTAAAATTCCTTCCAATTGTTTATTTTTTTCCACTTAAAAGTTAGTTAAATTTTACTAACAACATTATTAAAAGGCTGACTATTACGTTACTAGGCTTTTCTGAAGTGCAAGTGAAAAAGTTATTGGCAGGTTACTCTCTACGGTCCGTTGCTCTTGCGCTTGAAATGAATAATTAACATTAGAATCGAAGATTTGCATAATCTCACAGGCGCCGTTGGTGACGCCCCCCGCCCCGTTAAAAATCTTAGGGGCGGCGCCCCCAGGCGCCACTCGGCGCGCCCCCCAAGGGGCGCCTCGGGAGGCACCTTTGGCGGCGCCCCCGGGCTTCGACCCATATATAGCTTAAAGAGATAAGGACGGCATAATTCAATTGGTTACGCGGGGGAAGGAGGGTCTTTGCGCCTCTCTACTGGGCGCCCTCTCTCGTCGCCGCATCAGCTGCATCAGCATCAGCATCATCGAGTCGAAAGCTAGTTTTCGACATTTTCGATAACTTTCAAAAATTTCTTTAATGCCATTCGATAGAGCGGGAAAAAATCTACTAAGAGTTTCAATTACAATTCAAAATAGCATCATATAAAAGAGTTATAAAAAAAACGAAGAAAATCACCCCCCCGCACAGTTTTTCCCCCACGCGAAATAGAACAGAACCGGTATTTGTCAGAATAAGCCTGCGCTAAGGTTTTTCTTTGGAAAAGCCAAAGGGTAAAAACAATAGAAAATGAATAAGGAATCGTTAACTGGGACGCTGGAACAATGCTGAGGAATTATAGGGAAAGAGCGGTGCACGAATTGGTTATTGAGTTGGGTTCATTTCGTTGAGGTCTTATTCAAATTATTCAAATCGGCTGAATTATTTGATTATTTACAAATTATTTGATTTGAACTCGCGGGACGCAAATCAAATCGATTTGATTTGATTGGCTCCAGTTCAAATGAAATCGGCTTGCTCTCAATAATTTGAATCTTATTCAAACCTGATTTGATTAAGCGCCACTCTAGTCCTCATCCCTTTAAGGAGGGTTAATTATTTTTGGACACCGTGGAGATGAGACCAATACGATTTTGGTTTCGGAGGCAATGGCGGAAGGATAGACGACTTTAAAACAGCTGGAAGAAGCGCCACAGGCAGAAAAAGTTTCGGAAAAAAGCATCAGGGTCCCCCCTTAGGCGCATTTCGGCCTGCGGCCGATATCGGGAGCTGGTTCGACGACGGCTGGGATGGACGGGGCAACCACGGATCAAATCATACACCTGCTCACCCTCTGCCCCCCTTACAGGCTTGCCCGGAACTCACAAGCTTCGTGAGATCGATCCTCAGCGCCAAGCCGTACTCAGCCAGATCATAGCGGCCGGCTTGACGTTCGATCGGGCGTGGCTTCCCTTCCGTCTGGAAAAATACTAGAAGTTTCATTTGGGTCCATTTTTCGACCGCCCCCCCCCCCACGGATTCGGATTTTCCACGGTAGCGACGTGGGTTTTGCGACGAGTAGTTGGAATCTCAAACGACGGTAATCTCAAACCCGATTACCATGGTCTTCA